AAAAAAAAAAAAAAGGCTATGAAGACTTACAATCCAGTTGCTTAACACAGAAAGTGGGCAGATGATCAGTGTTGTTCTTGGTCTCTCTTCAACATCAGTTTTCTTTGAACCCTCCACTGCAGATGCTCCTGAAAGAGTGAATCAGTTGAGAGTCTTTAGTTTTCTTCTCATATATATGAAGTCAATAAAGAGATGACAATATGTGCCTTTATGAAAAGAGAAAATAGGAAGAACTAAAATGAAGTAGATAGACTGTTATTTCCAGCCATGATGAAGTAAAAGGAACTAGAGCTTACCCTGTCACTTTGTTATTTTTTACCTTGTCACTTTTAAATCCACACAGTGATTACTTATGGGGGGAGGGAGAGAACTGTGATTGAGAGGGGACACAGAGAAAAAGTCTGGAATATCTCCTGATATGTATTTAAGTTATTCATAATTACTCATTAAAATAACATTTGTTTTATACAGTTTTTGGAATCTGTACTATAGTTAATATGGTAACCAGACTCCAAGATATCCACTTTCTGACAGTCACAACGTCATACAGTCTCCTCCCACACTCTACTAGGGTGACAAATAGGATATGGCAAAAGTGGTGGTGTATCACTTCTAAGATTAAGTTATAAAGGATGCAGTTTCTGTCCTGGGTGCTCTCTCCCTCTCTCTGACCACTCCCTTTGGAGGAAGCCAGCTGCCATGTTGCAACAATACTCAAGCGGCCTATGAAAGGACATGCTATAATTTTATTTTCCATTCCCGTACTGGACAGTATTTACATTATTTCCAATATTTTTCTAAAATAACACAGCAGTGAAAACTACTTTTTCATGGCTACATATCTAGGTGATATATCTATCTTCATTATATTTGGCCTACTTGCTGCTCACCATGGTAATTTATACTCCCATCCATAGTGCGTAAAGAGTTCCTGTTGCTGTACAACCTTGCCTATACATGGCACCCTGTGAGATTTTTAAATGTTTGTAAATATAACAGGTGAAATGGTATCTCTCTGTTCCTTTAATATGATTTTTCCAGTGACTGAACCTGCACAGCTTTCCCTGTTTATTGGTTATGTTTTCTTTCCTTAAACTGTATAATTGTATTCTTAGTGGCTATTCTCCTACTGGACTGTCTTTTTCCAATTGATTTGTAGAGGTTCCTTTTTACACATTCTAAATACTAATCCTTTGTAAGTTACACTTACGAGAAATATCTTCTTCAATCTTATCATTTTTCACCTTGTTTATATTGCACTTTGATGCATGGTAATTTAAAATGTAGTAGAATTTCATCAATTTTTCCTTATGACTTCTTGTGTCAAATTTAAGAAAGCACTATGATTTGTCTCCACTCACTGATTTTTCTTTCTATTCTGCTTTTCTTCCAGAAATGTGCTTATTTTTTTTCACAGCTATGATTTTTTTAAATTTCTCTCTTCTATTATGGCTATGTGCCTGCAACAAGGCACTTTTTGAGAGTGAACTTAATTCTATCTGAATTCTAATTCTATCTCAAAAGAAAATTCCACATTTCTTAAAATTTCTAAAATTAGGGTCAAGAAGTATTTGAAATGCGTATTATCTTCAACTCAATTAATTGTCTGATTCTTAGACCAAAAGTTAGCTCTTTTTTCATCATTCTGTGTTGGGTCAAATATCATCTCCTTAAACAGGTCCCTTTCATCAATCAATATTTCACTATCCTTCTTTATTTTATTCACAATGTCTACTATTTAAAATTACGTGTTCACTTGTGTATGTTTTCCCATCATCAGATATAAGCTCCATGAAATTAGACTTCTGCCTAGTATATCCCCAACATATAAAATACAGGAGACTAAGTTACAGAGATACAATAACTTGTCCCAGATCTCCTTAACCTTAGAGTTCAAACTCTTTCCTTCTCAAATATTTAGATTCTTATATAATGTTTTCCTCTGAACTACAAAATATAAAATTATAATAAAGATCACTAGCGTTCATAAGTAAAAAACAAATTCTACTCATGCCAAGAACGGAATCTTTATTATAATTTAAATAAATTCAAATTAAATTAGGTTTTAAAGAGCCATCAATTGCTCTGGACCTTCACTAGAAGAAAACATTTCTGCTATTCAGATGAGTAAAGGACCTCTTTTCCATATTTTTGACCTAACTAAAATAAACAGAATAAGAAAAGGTACTAGGAGAACACATAAACATGCACTTCCAAGAAAAATGGGATTATCTTTTTCTTTTCTCTACTTTGTAAACTTCTTGCACCATGTTTTCATAACTTCTGTCATTAAAAATTTTTTACACTGAAAAACAAAAGCTAAAAAACCATGAGATTTACTGACCCTTTTTCAACATTCTCCTTTTTGTTGTAGGGGTAGATGAAATAAGTGCACATGCAAACTCTGCATCTTCTTTAACCTTAGAAGATCCTGCTAAAATAAAACCACAGAATCATTAAGATATCTGAAAACTAATTCTCTCCTATGCTTAGGTACAGGTACCTCCTGAGAATAGGAAATAAATACAACACTTCCATACTCCAAATCTTAAGAGTGTATATTATTCAATAAAAACAAAATATCTGGTGACCAAAACTGCCTGACACTAAGCATGTAATTCCAGCTCAAAGAAGGAATATAGTCACTTGTCATGAAGTGTTACTTCTCTTGAAGAAGAGATGTGAAAGTAGGAGCAGCCACATGCAAAGTGATTCAGCTTCCAGGTGGAAGAGTATTCTCAAGGAAACAGGTGTTTGACTTCTAATGATGAGGCTGCCAAATTTTCATTATCAGTTGGTGGTAATGAGTAATTTTCCAAATGCAATACAATTTCTCAACTAATTAGGAATACAGTACCATCCAGTTTACAAGAAAAGAAAATAGTTATGTTTTAAAGATAAGGAAAAAGTAATGATACTGACTGGTTACTTTTACAGCTATATGACAATGCGAACAGTAATATTACCAAGAAGGTGCTCCCACTCAACTTCTGTAATTGTAATTTGTACATATAAGATTTTACTGGAGTCCTTTAGTAAGCAGTAAAAATTACTTTGTTTAAAGTTAGTTTAAATATTTCTTAGATTTTAATTTGAAACTAATCTTTCAATTTGCCTCATTCATTTACCACCCTTAATTAGCTCCAAATGTAAACAGCAGTCAAGTGTAAGACCTATTACTAAAGAATCCAAGCTAAAGAGATATAAACCTATGGAGTTTTACTTTATTTTTTTTATTTTTTTAAAAGATCTTATTTATTTATTTGACAGAGAGAGAGACAGCCAGAGAGGGAACACAAGTAGGGGGAGCAGGAGAGGGAGAAGCAGGCTTCCCGCCGAGCAGGGAGCCCAATGCAGGGCTCGATCCCAGGACCCTGGGATCATGACCTGAGCCGAAGGCAGACACTTAACCGACTGAGCCACCCAAGCGCCCCTGGAGTTTTACTTTAAAATAATCCTTAAGTGTAGATTATATATACTGAGATTTATATACGTACCTTTTACTCTTTTAGTCTCAGACTGTGCATTTTTCAGTTTGCCTACAACAAAACCAAATACAAAAATGGTCACACTGGGAAATTAGAATATAAGACACATTATCAAATCAAGTCCATTTCATATTACCTTTCATTTTCTGTGGCAATTCACTTGCTTCATTTTCCTCTGAATCACTGCTTTCATTGTACTGGACTGCAGTTTTCCTTCTAAAATATACACAAATTTTTTATCAAACCAAAACAAAATGGGATATGAAAACACAGGTTTAATACATGCACTACATATGCTTCTGTGTTGCCTGGTTTTCGAAAAAATTTCAAGGAAAATTTGACAAGTGAAAGTAAATTTGCTAAAAGCATTTTGCTTTCATATGCAGATGCATTTACTATACAAAATACAGTACCACCATTATTAAATTTGAAAAGGTCAACCATCCTAAAATAATCATTTTTAATACTGAGCTTAATATCTGGCAATTCAAACAAAACACCTATATAAAACTAGAACTAAAAAGAAGTAACTCTTATCAAAAATACTTCTAATATAATGAAATGAGCAGCTAAGATGCAAAAATATAATTCTCTGACAATGAAAAATTTTATGTATTTTGTGTAGAAACAGTACATTACAGTGGTTAAGCACCTAAAAATAATGGACTTTGGAGTCAGACCACCTAGATTCAAATTTCCATTCCCCTACTTATTTGCTATGTGACTTTAGGGAAGTCACTTAATATTCTTCTATGCCTGTTTCCTCTTTTGGAAAACGAATAAAAATAAATTCACTTCATAAGATGTGTTACTACATTCAATGCCCCTAAAATAGTACCTGTTGCACAGTAAACATACATGTATTAACTATCATATATGTGTTAGTTTTCCCCCCCACATCCTCCTTACTATTTCCATGTCCTTTAATCTTATCTGGTCAACCTAACAGTGCTGTTCTCACGCTCATGGTCAGTTAAGAGTTGTAAGATTTGATATCTAGATGAGAAACAGGAGTCCTGGTTTTGTGCTCAGTTTAGATAGGTATTAATGATAGAGAACAATTAACAAAGCCCCAGTTTTGAGATTTTTACTGAACTAGCTAATAGAGACTCAGATTTGTGATCATACCTGCAGATATTATGATAGACAATACAACAAAAAGTCAAGTATTTAGATCTACTTCTGAGGGCAAATGAAATTTACGAAGTTAACAGATTCAAGTTAAATTAGAGGAGCATTATGTATTTTATTCAAATTCTCCCTCTAGTCTACATTAATATAATACTCTCTAAAATAACTTCATCATATCTTATTTCTAAAGGTGAAATGACAAAGAACTGAGATGAGCAAAGAGTGCTTCTATCAAATCATCTAATAGTTGTCAGTTTTCATCTCCTCAAAATATAAAGAAAACTTCTAAAATCAACAAAAACAAAATACTTGGGAGCTAGATCTTAGTTCCTATGTGAAAGAAATAGAAAAGTGGTAGAAAGGTAAGTGATTATTAAAAACTACCAATTCCCTTTTATAGATCAGTATTACTTTTCTTCACCTATAAAATGAGAACACCTACCTGCCTAAATCAGTGATTTTGGAAGTTTCAAGTAACAGAATGAATTTGAAAGAACTATATAACTGAGATAAATGGTCATATCTCTCTCCTACATATAAGAAAATGGAAAAAGAGTTTAAACAAACATTACATACAATCAAACCATAACAGAGTTTACCTTTTGGGGCGAGAGCTAGACAATTCTGACTTGGGATATTTATTCTTTCCCTTGACATCTGAAATACTGGGTTCTCCACTACATCTAGATCCTTTCATTTCAAAGAAAAGGACAAATATACAGAGTATTAGTAAATTGCCTTGACTAAGAGTATCCTTCTTAAAACCTGGGTTTTCCAAATCAATAGTTCAACTTTTTTTAATATCTTCATTCTTGTTCTTTTCAATCAGCCAGCTCATCTCTCTACCCACTCACCACAAAGGTCTATACCATACTGGATCCTTTACCTAGATTCTTAACTCCTTTGACTCCCAGATGATCTACTTCACAAAGAAAATCGAATGCTATCTTCTATCAACTCCTAATCTTCCTACCTTTCATTCCCTCAATTATCTATATTTTCCATCAACCTTACTTCCTTTCCTTCTAATGCTAATTCACTTACCTATTCTCTTGCTCTCACTGCCCCCACAGAGGCCTACAAATTCTTTCCATGGTACCCAAAAGCTCTTCCTAGCCATGGATTTCTTTCTTAATGCTCCCCTGTGCAAAAAGCCCTTCAATTCTGCCTTCATCTCCAACTATTTTTCTATTTCTATTTCAAACTTAGCAAAATACATAATAGCACACAACTGTTATTTCCAATTCTTCACCTACTATTCTTATCTTAAAATATTTTCAGTTTTGCTCTGCTCTAACCAATCTTCAAAAACTAATTTTGTCAAGGTCATTAACTGCTAAACCAACTATGTAACTGCTAAATCCAGAGATCTCTTTTCATTTCTCCTCTAACTTCAGAATCTGGCTCTAACCTATCTTTCTACCCTTATCTGCTATTGTCCATGCACATTACATTGTAATTACCATAAACTACTCTGAGGTCTCAGAACAAAATACGCATTATGTTGCTATCGTTTTGTTTTGTTTTTACTGCCCTTTCATGTGACTTTTTCTCAAACAAAAATGTTCTTCCCCAGCTTCTCTGACTGGTGTACAACCACCCAATTCCATCATGACCTCCTTGATGAAATTTTTCCTGATTACCAGTTCTCATGAGATTCTTAGAAAAAGAGATCTTAAAATTTTTACATGTTACAAAGCCAGAGCTCGAATTATGTCATCAAACTGGAAAAATTTAAATTAAATATGGGGTCATGTTCAAAAGTAAACTTTACCTTTGATTAGTCCATCTGCCTTTTCACTGGTATTGTTTCCTCCAAGTTTCATAGATTGATCGTTAACATTACACTCCTGGATGAAAAGGCATATTTCTTACATAGCACTGCTGTCAGTTTTAAATAAACTTAAAACGCATCCTTTATACTGCTTTACTTTACATAATAAAGATTACTTAGATTGGTACTCCATTCTGGAGCAATGCGGGGAGGTGCATTAAGTGAAGAGGAAAAATAAACAGATTAAAAATTTTTCACAGGTATCTCAAAAGAGAAAACTAATCAGTCTTTATCTTTTCAAAAGGAATACAAATGGCAAAACTCAATTATAAATGGCATATAATTACTGTAAGAAACACTGAACATGAAATAGAAATTTACTTTAGAATTAAAAGGAATTCTCGGGCGCCTGGGTGGCTCAGATGGTTAAGCATCTGCCTTCGGCTCAGGTCATGATCCTGGAGTCCCGGGATCGAGTCCCGCATCGGGCTCCCTGCTCCTTGGGAGCCTGCTTCTCCCTCTACCTCTCTCTCTCTCTGTCTCTCATGAATAAATAAAAAAAAAAAAAAAAAAAATCTTTAAAAAAAAAAAAAAGGAATTCTCAAACTATAAGCTTTTAACCAAGAGTCCCTACTCAGTAAATAACTTATCTTTAATGAGGCTGCCATTGCCATCCTTGCTCTCTGGAATTCCCAGGATGGGTAGCTCCAATAGTACAGGGTCCAGAGTCCCTCCTATCATACTCTATTAGGGATTTTCTTGCCAACCCTGACTTCTTCTTTTTCCCTTCATGTATATCCCTTTGTTTCAAAATGAATCTATATATCTATATCTATCTATATATATACACACACACATGAATAATATACACGTGAATACCAAAACTTCTGTAAAAGTAAAAATTTACATTTCTTTGTAAAAAATGTTTACATGAGTCTAATAGGGCAGGGTTCCTCTAATCTTTAATTCTTAACTTCATTCTGTAGGTACGAATAACAAACGCCAATTGGGCTGAATTTAATTCTTCCCATTAAAAAAAAAAGTAGGTGATTTAGTCATATCGAGTAGAGATTAGGACTTGGGGGGCAGGAGTACAAAGTAATTTTTGCTGAGATTGGGATAAGAAAGGATAATTTGATTTTAGTATTAAAAAAGTACATTTGAAACATCTTCTAAAATCCCACCAGTTAAGTTTTACTAAAAATGTAGGTGAAAAGATCCATTCCCTTCTAAAGGTATGAGTCTAACTAAGCTGAAAATTTTAAATGTAACGTATCTAAAAATATGTAACTAGGAGTTATTTTAGGTAATTTTTTATTTGTATTTTCAGAGCTCAGTATATTTTATTTATTTTTTTTTAAATTTTTTATTGTTATGTTAATCCCCATACATTACATCATTAGTTTTAGATGTAGTGTTCCATGATTCATTGTTTGTGCATAACACCCAGTGCTCCATGCAGAACGTGCCCTCCTCAATACCCACCACCAGGCTAACCCATCCTCCCAGCCCCCTCCCCTCTAGAACCCTCAGTTTGTTTTTCAGAGTCCATCGTCTCTCATGGTTCGTCTACCCCCCCGATTTCCCCCCCTTCATTCTTCCCCTCCTGCTACATTCTTTTTTTTTTTTCTTTCTTAACATATATTGCATTATTTGTTTCAGAGGTACAGAATATTTTATTTTAATCAATGCCAAATATTTACATTATTTAAGACTGCATAGCCATTAAAAAATTATTAAATACACTGCAGTCCAAAGTTGCCATTTTTATTATGGCAGTATTACACCTTTCTTTTTTTTTTTTTACAAGCCAGACAAATGATTTTATTTTTTTCTCCAAGTTTTCATTTAAACTCTAGTTAGTTAACAGTATAATAAGTAGTTTCAGATGTAGAATTTAAGTGATTCATCACTTATATCCAATACCCGGAAGAAATTGATATTAAAAATGCTTTCCATCAAATGTTCTACCTTACTTCAATAATTAGTTCAACCATTTATATTAAACAACATGCAAAAAAGAACCTAATAGTTTATCCACAAATGATGTCCATTACATTACTCTTTTTTATGAAATGATTTTGCTCAGCAAGTTTTTTCTTCAGAGTTCAAAATTAAACCTTCTACAAAGTCCAACCTATCAAGTCATATTACACTCCAGTCTAATGGAACTTAAATCAATGACATTTCACTCTGTAAGCTTGGAATATCTAAATCTATTTAAAACCGTGTAATATTTTTGTTGCAATAAATTCTTAGCTGGAAATCACATTTTCAGCCTCAATTTCAATAAATGCGACAAACCAGATATACTAACACCTTCCTGCTACCTAACACCTTAAATGCATGGCTGATTTTCGGGGGACAGAGTGTGGGGGAAGGCTTTCCTGATAACAGATAATTTTTTAAGCTGATAATTGCTACTGAAGCTGTAAGTAGTCTTAGGTGGTGGTGTTCTGTTTTAATAACAAAATGTAGGAAGCACAGGATGTAAAGTATCAAACTACTCATGGTAAGGAATTGAATCTCAGATATTTGACAAGAGAGTTAAACTCCCAACAAAAGTACAAAGAAGGAAATGCAACGAAGGTGCAGAAATTAATAAAACAGACTCTTCATAAGCAGTGGCAGGAAACTGATACGCAGCCTCTTTGAAAACTAAAAAAATTAGAACAGCAGTACAGAAAAGTCCAGAGGTATTTTGCATATACCTTTTGCTCAGTTATTCCCTAATTTAAGTTCTTTGAATTTTAAGCTGAAAATGGAAAATAACTGTTTCATTCTAATAACATTTACTTTCCCCATAAAACTAATTTTTTTAATTCTTAGAAATGGAGCATAAATATATGATGTTTATATGCCATATGTAAAAATATATATAAATTAAATATCAAGAAAGTCACCCATGTTATCATCACTAGGACATAATTATCACTATGTATGACTACATTCAGACTCAGACATACATAAATACGCCTTTCCAAAATGAGGCTTAATTCTATTCAAAATGTGTCCCTGGCCTTTTTTTTTAACTAAAAAATATCATAAAAATAAGTGTTCTTCAAAAATAGGATTTTATAGTTGCAAAATATTAAATTTTAAGGCTACATAATAACATAACTCTTAACCTTACTGTGAGGAGTTTCTTTTCTGCCTTTAAATAATGCATAGGGGGAAAGTTTGTACTTTTATCTCTGGAAAAAATGGATTTCTGATGACTTCCTTCCTTCCATTATTTTTTTTAAACAAATTTATTTTTTTAAGTAGGCTCCACACAGGGCTCATACTCACAACCCTGATATCAAGACCTGAGCTAAAATCAAGAGTTGGATGCTTAACCAACTAAGCCACCCAAGCGCCCCTCTGATAACTTCTTTAGTTTCTCTGAAGTGGTATTACTGAATCACAGATCATAAACACTTTTAAGATTTTTGATACATATTACCCAATTACCCTCAAGAATGTAGTACACAATTTTCACTCTTTTCAGCAACACGTAAGAGAGGCCATTCAGCATTTCTCTAAAAACACTGGATGTATTATCAATTTTTTGGCAAATTATTTTTCAATGACAAAATTAAAATGAACCAGAGACTTTGGAGAAAACACACTAATACTTTACCTTCTTCAGCTGACTTTTTTTAATTCTTTCAACAGGAAGAGGTTTGCCATCATGGAAGTTGGTAAGAATTACTGCAATGGCTGTCAGAGTTTTGCCCTTTAAAGATGTTTTTAAAAGACAAATGGTCAGACTCTGAAACTCAACTGACCAGAGAACATTCCAAAACCAATTGTAAAATCAAATGGGCAAATATCATATAGCATTCAAGGCCACAGAAGCATACTATTATATTAAATAATCTATGTATTAATAAAAAGAATTCTGTTGATTAAGAAATGCTTTTGCACACTGTATTACTAAGAATTATTAAATGGTTTACTCCATAAAATACTATAAGCATCCGTGAGAAATATGATTCTACTGGAAGACTGCTGGTTATAAGATTTTATGTTTAACCCTGAACTAATAACTTTATCATCAAACTACAACTTGCTTGCCATGTAGTTCAGAGCTAATTTAAAATGATTAGTAATTCCAGTATGCACATGAGATAATCATTTTATTAAATTTCATTTAAATACCACTGTAAAACTTAAAAGCTTTAACTTATCAACAAAGCATAAATGATGTATTTCTTGTGCATTTTTCTTAAATAGAAGCATGTAATTTTTCATTACTTTCCATAGGTGAATTTATAATTAGCAACACAGAAATAACTCTTTGGCAATTTTAAAACAGTTAAAGCAGCAGTTTCCTAAGTGTAGCCCATAGGTCCTAGAGTTTCCCAGGACCCTCTCAGGAGTATGTACAAACCTATTTTCATAATACTGCTAAGGACTAAGCAGCTGGCAGTACATCATACTAGTGGTCATTGTATTCTTAGCTGCCAAATACTTTAAAAAAAAAAAAGCTAGTTTTAAGAATACTTTATAAGAATATTCTTGATGAAGCAGGACACATGAATTTTATTAAATCTTGCCTCAAGTACACACGTAAATATTCTAAGTATAACAAGAAGGGAAGAACACATAAAAATACTTTTGTTGCACACCAAAATATGACGGTTATCTAGAGAAAAATGACTTGCGAGACTGAGGTTACAAGCTTAACTAGCACCATGCATCACCATGCATCATCATTTTTTCATGCATCACTATTTTTACTTGAAAGAATGACCAACAACCAGTTATTCATGACTGAGTGGCAGACTTTTTTGAAAAATGAACAAAGTACAGCTATTTTCAAGGGAAAATAATTGACAGATTTGTTGTAAATGATAAAATCTGAACTTTCAAGCAAAAATTAGAATGTTGGAAAACTTGTATCTGACACCATGAGCACAGCAGCTTCCCAAAATGCAAATGCCTACTAAAATTAGCAGTAATATCAAAGAATATAAACTTTTGATACTATATAATGAAATGCATCAACATCTGGCAGATCTGTGTAACTCAATGAACCAATATTTTCCAAATAAGCAATGCCTGATGTTATGAAATCATGCATGAGCGCAATATCCATTCAATGTGCAAGTCCAGCAATGGATTTTAATGCAACAGAGTACAAAAGCTCAGATACAATTTTTAAGTTCGACATTATAACTGTTAACCTTTAATAAACTAATACTTGCTTAGTTTTGTTGTTGTATCAAAGAATTATACAGTTATCTAAAAAGACTACTTTTAGGGGCGCCTAGGTGGCTCAGTTGGTTAAGCGACTGCCTTCGGCTCAGGTCATGATCCTGGAGTCCCGGGATCGAGTCCCACATCGGGGCTCGTTACAATCTTCTGCTTCTCCCTCTGACCCTCCTCCCTCTCATGCTCTCTGTCTCTCATTCTCTCTCTCGCAAATAAAATAAAAATAAAAATAAAAATAAAAAAAAGAAAAAGACTACTTTTAAAATACTCCTCCCATTTCCCAACTACATATCTGTGTGAGGACTAATCCTTATGTACCTATACCAAAACACCTTATCACAACACACTGAATGAAAAAGCAGTTATGAGAACTCAGAATTCATCTCTTAGGCCAAACATTATAGAGATTTGCAAAAATGTAAAACAATGCCAGTCTTATCAAAATTACTTTTGTTTTGGAATAGTCCCTTTTCATTTAAAAATATGCTATGTATGTTAATAAGTAATGAGTTTATTATTTTTAAATTACTAACTTAAAAAATTTTGTTTTAATATCTAATACTATAAATACTGATATAACCCACAAATACAAAAAGCTCTTTGGGATTGTCAAAAATTTATAAAGAGTATAAGGGTTATGGAGACTAAAAAGTATAAAAACTGCTGGTATAAGGAATCATAAATGTATATTTAATACTCTGTATATCACAATACTGTGACAGAATACAATTTCATGTAACATTGTTGTCTCTTCCTTCTTTTTTTAAAGAAAACCCATGAAAGATAAGCTACCTTGAATTTCAAAAGAAAATTGAGAAATACGTTTATACATTATTGCTAATTAACTTAATTGTACCTTAACCAAATAAACCGAAACAAAGAAAACGTAGCCTCATTTTAAGTGCAAGACACAGAGAAAACTGTTCTATACCGAAAGTGAAATCTAGTTCCACACCAGCACCAACATATTCCTATCTCTTTCTACTTCGAAATTACTTTCTATAAAATTATAATTACAAAATAAAATTTTATTAACTCAAGAAAAAAAATAATTACCAAACCCATATCATCAGCTAAAATTCCTCCATGGACATTTTCTGGTCGGTCCTTCTCAGAAAAATTTGTTATTGTGTTATAGTATAAGTCACTTCGCTGTTCCCAAAATGGTGGAAGGTCTTTACTGTTTTCCCGTGAAACCATCCAAGCTAGAGCTTGTTTTTGATGTGGAAGCAATGGTGTTTCAACAGCCTATAAATAAAAGGAATGTCTTAAATAGAAATTAAACCAGTCCTTTTTCTCCATGCAGATTCTGGAAAACAGTTCATATTGTGCTAAAAACTGTACAGATTAACAGTGTATTTTAAAATTCCAAATCGTTTTAAATAAAAAATATTGGGGGTGCCTGAGTGGCTCAGCTGATTAAGTGTCTGACTTGATTTTGGCTCAGGTCACGATCTTGGCGTCGTGGGCTTAAGCCCCCATAGGGCTCCGCACTCAGAATCGGCTTGAGATTCTCTCTCCCTCTGCCCCTTCCCCTGTCTCGCTCTCTCCCTTTCTAAATAAGTCAAATATTGGGCGCCTGGGTGGCTCAGTCGTTAAGCGTCTGCCTTCGGCTCAGGTCATGATCCCAGGGTCCTGGGATCGAGTCCCACATCAGGCTCCCTGCTCCGCGGGAAGCCTGCTTCTCCCTCTCCCACTCCCCCTGCTTGTGTTCCTGCTCTCACTATGTCTCTCTCTGTCAAATAAATAAATAAAATCTTAAAAAATAAATAAATAAATAAGTCAAATATTTTTAAAAATTAAATAAATAGGAAATATTGGCTCAGTACCTCAGCTGGTTCCATTTCATGAGTTTTATCATCTTCTTTTAAATCTTCAAACAATTTGTCAAATTCTGTTTTAAGCTACAACAAATAGCAACAAGAAACATCATGAAACAAACCAATTAAAATAATTTCACTTAATTCAGAGTTTCCAAATCATTTAATTAACAAAAAGATTTGAATACCAAAAGTTACCTAACATATTCTTTGAGTTGCTACATTGCTTACTGAAGGCAGAATGAATAGGTGCTTTAGGTGTAAGAGGTTGTGTTACAATCAAAATACGGAAGAGATTAAATCTAGAGTTTGTCACAGCTGTCACAAATCTATATATAACACTGGGCAAGAGACTTAACCTTTATGGCCTATATCTTATTCTTATAAAATGAAAGGGATAATTTAGAGTGTCTCTAAGGTTCCTTCTACCATTGAAGTTCTATGATTCTATTAGTTGTATTCAAAACATTCTGTGAGATCCTACCAGGTCCATTTATTTGACTTTTTTTTTTATGTCAATGACACTTCATTTACTATTACTGCAAACAACTTGTTAGGTGCTACAAAACATTAATAGATGATTTTAATCTTATGCTAATTTAGTTGGTTCTTTAAACTGATCTAATCTAATTCTATAGCAACATGTATGTGTTATAATTACTTTTATAAATCAGCACACGAATACAAAGCAGTAGCTCAGAAGAAATCAGGCTAAATCAAAAAAGTTAGAGAGTAACCTGGGGTTTACCCACCAAACACAGGCTCAAGCCTTACAAATAACGAGCAGGTAAAATATGGTAACTACAATTAGAAGACAAAAAGGCTAACAGAGATTCTCAGGGTCCTGGGATCAAGCCCCATGTGGGGTTCCCTGCTCAGCAGGGAGTCTGCTTCTCTCTCTCCTTCAGCCCCTCCCACCCACTCTTGCTTGCTCTCGCTTGCTCTCTCTCTCAAAATCTTTAAAAAAAACTTTTTCATATATATTCTACAGTGTGTTTCATAACTTAACATACCTGAAGATCACAAGTACTAGCACATACATCTTATTCTTTTAAACATCAATCTTCAACATTTAAAATTCACTTTTAGATTACAAAATGAAAAAGAAGCATACCTGCTCAGTTGTCATCTGTACTGCAGCATGAACTGGCATACTATAGCTTGGTCCAGCTCTTCCAGAGCCCCAACTACTTTCTAAACTGAATCCTAAAGCTGTAATTTACAAAATGAAAAGAATAAAATCACCAAATGAATTATCTTTTAGTAACTTTTAGTTGTGTTCTAAATATATTTTAAAAATTTTTTAAAAACTAATAGTCATTAAAAAAATACATTATTAAAATAATGCCACATTTTTTAACAAACTCTTGCCAAATAAATAATACTTCTTCATTCCCTATTGGGAGATTCTTTTTGTCTATAATTTATCAGACGAAGTTTAAAATCAGGGATTTTAAACCAGATATTAACACTGGGGAAAATTAGGGAGGAAATACAGGACCTCTTTGTATGTATGTGTGCATGTGCATGTTCTCTCACACACACACACACCCCCTCCTATGAATCTATAATTATTTCAAAATAAAGAGAAAAAAAAATCAGGGATTTCCTTAAAAAGATTCCTAAGAAAAGTTACAACTCAGAGCCTTCAACACAAATTAGCCAAACAAACTCAAATTATTTCTCAAGAGAAGAAATGTTTTATAATTCCTGCATCTTACAGTAGCAAAATAATAGGAGCTTAAACTCTAAACTTACTTTTTGGTGCAGGACCCAATTTAAATCCATGTTTCTTCAACTGATCTAAAACCGCTTTTCTATTTTCTTCTTTTCCCCAAAAAGTCATATGGAGAGGCATGGTAAAAGCATTGTTTGCACCAAAAGGAACAACCCTATTATATTTGAGGAAAAAAAAAAAAAAAGAGAAAATTAGAACTGTTATTTTTTACTTCCATTAAGAATATGACTATTAAATATTGTAAGCATCACTGGGGTGCCTGGGTGGCTCAGTTGTTAAGCATCTGCCTTCGGCTCAGGTCATGATCCCAGGGTCCTGGGATCGAGCCCCACATCGGGCTCCCTGCTCCACGCTTCCCCTCTCCCACTCCCCCTGCTTGTGTTCCTTCTCTCACAGTGTCTCTGCCAAATAAATAAAATCTTTAAAAAAATAAAATAAAATAAAATAAAAAAATATTGTAAGCATCACATTCAAATTTTGCAAGGAAGTGAAATAAGGAACTATTAGGCAAACTAGAAAAACAGAAAAAGTACAGGGAATAGGATCAACAACAATCAGTTTCTGTTCCTCTGTTTTGGGAACAGAAAGTCAGAAGAAACTGAAAAGATGGAATAAAGCCGGGTAGCCTATAACTGAGATTATAAGATAGGTACAAATAATAAGTTTAATTGAAAGGGAAAAGCTTTCACTAACAGAACCACTGATGGTAGCAACACATTCTGGGAGAATGGGGAATGATTTGCAAGAACTACATCTGACCCTTAACAACATGGGGTTTTGGGACACTGACCCCCTATGCAGTTAAAAATCCACATATAACTTTTGATACCCTAAAAACTTAACTACTAATAGCCTGTTGTTGACCAGAAGCCTTACCAATAACATAGTCAACTAACACATATTTTGTAGGTTATATGCATGATAGATTGTGTTCTTAAAGCTAAAAAAAAATTAACAAAATCATAAAGAAGACAGAGTACATTCACAGTAGTGTACTGCATTTATTTTAAAAAATCTGCATTTAAGTGGTCCCGTACAGGTCAAACCCATGTTCAAGGGTCAACTATATTTATGATCCAGGATTCACTAAAAATTTATTCTCAATATCCAAAAACTTTAATGAACTGAGAATGGAGAAAACAAGTAAAGTAAGAAGACATTACTGAGCATTTGTCATCCAACCTCACCTTTTCATATTCTAAACATTCCATACTTAAATTGAGATCACAGACTAAACGCCTGAAAGAGAAAAAATGGTAACCAAGGAGACTGGGAGTTTTAAAAAAAGGAAGAGGTGGTAGAACTGGGAGAATACAGGCCTTGCCTAAAGCAGCAGCTGCTACTCTGCTCCAGTCAACTGATGTTCTGTGCAAATGAAGGTCAGATCTTCCATTTGTCAAGAGAAATCTTCATAAATAATTTTCAATTAGGGAAAAAATTAACCTATATAAAATGCAGAATATCCAGATATTTGGATATTGGAAATAAATGAAAAATTATAAAACACTATGTAGGCAAAATGAAACTCACCTACATATGATCACAGGCTACTAGCTTACAACCTTTGATTTAAACAAACACTTCCAAACTCCCAAATCTATGCACTAAAAGGTTTGGACACATGGTATGGATTTCCTAATATTTGAGCCAAAATCTATTATTTTCCATGGTAATAATTTAGTAGGAAAGTAAGGGAATAGTTGTTTCATGGCTGGGGTAGTAGAGGCAGATGGGAAAAGAATTAACACATTTATTGAACACATACTAAAGGCATAGTGATAAAAGTTGTCAGGGCAACTATATAGCCTCTTAACAAATTCAAAGATCACAACTTATAATTATTAAAACTAAACTCTGAAAGTACATTACCCTTCAATCTGTGCCAATTTGTTGTCCATGATATAGGCCAAAGCAGCTGCAAGATCTTTCTTTAAATGGCCAACCTGATTTCCATTGACATTGTTTACTTTAATTGCATTCTTATCATAGGGGTTATTGGGCTCTCGTTGTAACGCAACCATTTCATTATTATTAACCTAATAAAATAATAAACAGATAATATTATAAATAATAAACATACAATAGGAGCTTTCTTCATTAAACTTTATCTGAGCTTTCCATTTATTTTTTTAATACTTACTTAAATAACAGCATATAAGAAATGTAGATTTTCTTAGACTCATATTTGTATACTAATATAAAAAATATATTTCATAATGTTTTTTACAGTATTTTTTAAACTTACATTCACTGGGAAGTTAACAAATCCTTGATATCTGAAAGATACAATCAAAACTAAATAAAAGTTTCACACTAAAATTTTCAACATCATAACTTCCGAAAACAGGTGATCTTTATTGAGTGCTTATTATGTGCCATTGTTCTAAGTACATTACCTAGATTTGACTTTTCAAATCTTCACAACTCTATCAGTAGGTACTATCATTACCCCCATTTTACTGATGAAGACACTAAAGCACAGAAAAGTTAAGTAACTTGACCAAGGTCATAAAGCTATTAAGTAGCAGAACTAGAATTTAAATCCAGGCAGGCTGGTTCCTAAGGCTGATTTCTCCAGGCTCTAAAAGGGGAAAAAGATATTAATTATAAGTCAAAATGGAATGAAATTAAGAAAATATATCCAACCTTCAATTCATGCCATTCTGATTCTACTAGATTAAAAGTTGCCTGAGGGTGATGTCACTGAAAATAGAAGACTTAAAGGACTTCTGAAAATTCTCTCTTCCATAATGGCAATGAAAAAAATGGCAGAAATTGTCAGAATCAACTTTTCCAGACATCTGGAAACCAACCAAAGAACTGCAGAAACCTGGAGGGTGTTAGTTCAAACAAAACAAAACAGCTAAACATCAGTGTCCTAGTCCCATCTCCAACTCTCAGCTGCATGATAGCCTTTAAAAATAACCTGCTAAAATTCTTGGTGCAGTCTAGTAGTCACCAAAGGGAGTGCAATGGAACAGAATCTTTCAAAGATTCATTCCTAAAGAATTGTCATTATTTGACCTGTATGATGGTTCTCCAGAATATCCCCACTTGCAAAGTGATTTCTATTTGATCTCTGAGCTCATCCAATACAAAAAACCCTCCTCGGGTGGGTGTTTGTTAGAAACAATTTTACAGGCAACGGGTAATAGCTGGGGCAAACAATACAATAACCAAAAGGATTAAAAGGAAAGCCGGGGACTAAGATGTCCACTAAGGCTTTGAAAAGCTCCAATATATTCCTGGGAACGTAGAAGGCCATATTCAAGCAGAGGGCTGTATGCGTGCCCGGGGCTGTGCATATGATCAGGAAAAGACCTAAGAAGACCGTAAGCTCACACCTCTGGCTAAACTTGAGGCTCTGAACTAGCAGGACATTAAGGTTAAGGAAGAACTGTCAACTGAAGGAGTGCCCCAAGTGCATACAGATCCCCACAGTAAAGACTGATAGATTTACTGGTTCTAGTTTAATCATAAGCTGACCATTAAGCTAACCAAGTACAGACATCAGTAGATTTTACAGGGTTAATTCAGGAAAATCACTAAACAAGCAACAATTTCAAAATCAGCAACAACAAACAACCCTGGAGAGGGAGAAGAATCTAATTTTTACAGTTGCCACATTATTTAAAATGTCTACTTTTCAACAATAACAACAAAAGAGACACGCAAAGAAATGAGAAAGTATGGTTCACTCATAGGAAAAAAACTATCAACTGTCCCTGAGGAAGCACAGATGTTTGACCTACTAGGAAAAAAATTTAAATTTTAAGTATGTTCAAAAACCTAAAGCAAACCATGTCTAAAAAACTAAAGGAAAACATAAAAACTATGTCTCACCAAATACAAAGTCTGTTGTCAAAAGTACAGTAAAGTAAAAAAAAAATTCACTAGAGAGGCTCCACAGCAGATTATGTGAAGGCAGAAGTTATCAATGAAGATGAAGACATTAGATGGGAGTCTAAGAACAGTTACAGAGTCTGAGGAATATATAGAAAAAAGAATGAAGAAACATGAACAGGCCTCAGAGATCTGTGGGACGATAGCAACCATATCTAAGATACACATCAGTCTCAGAACGGGAGGAGAAAAAAGGGTAGAAAGGATATTTGAAGAAATAATAGCTGAAAACTCCCCAAATTTGATGAAAAACATTAATCTACATATCTTAGAAACTCAACAAAGTCCAAATAAACTAAACTTAAAGAGATCTAAACCCAGACACATCATAATCAAGGTGTGGAAAAAAATGTTGAAAGCAACAAGAGGAGCAACTCCTTATTTATAGGAGGATCCTCAATAAGATTAACATGATTTCTCATTAGACAGCATAGAGGCCAAAAGGTAGTGGAATAACTTTTCAAAGTGCTTCAAAAAAAACTAAAGCCAAGAACTCTATATCTGATAAAATTACCCTTCAAAAGTATAAGAGAAATTAAGACATTCCAGTTAAACAATAAGAAATCACCACCAAGACCTGTCCTATATTAGAGAGAGAACTACAGGCTGAAATCAAAGGACTAGACAATAACGTGAATCTACACAAAGAAATAAGGACTACAGGTAAAGGTAATTAGATAGGTAAATATAAAAAGTATAATTTTTTTTGGTTGTAACTTTTTTCTCCTACCTGAATAAAAGTGCATAAAACAATTATAAATCTGTGTTGATGAGCATACACTGTAAATAAAGATGTAATTTGTATGTTAACAGCACAAAGGAATGGGGGAAGAGGGAAATGGAGCTATCTATAAGCAAAATTTTTGTATGCTATTGAAATTAAGTTGGCACTAATCCAAACTAGATTCTTATGAATTAAGTTATTAATTGTAATTCCCCAGAGCAACAACTAAGGAAACAACTCAAAATATATAGTAAAAGAAATGAGGAAATTAAAATGGCACACTAGAAAATATTAACGCAAAAGATGGCAGTAATGAAGGTTAGACCCAAGGGCCACATATTGTATGGTTCCATTCTATGCAATGTGTAGAGTAGGCACATCCACAGAAATAGAAAATAAATGAGTAGATATCAGGGACTGAGGAGACAGAGTAATAGCAAGTGATTTCTAAAGCGTACAGGGTTCTTTCTGGTGTGACGAAACGTTCTGGAACCAAACAGTGGGGAAGGTTGCACAACCTTGTGAATAAAAACCACTCAACTGTACTTTAAAAATGGTGAATTTTGGGACACCTGGGTCGCTCAGTTGGTTAAGTGTCTGCCGTCAGCTCAGGTCATGATCCCAGCATCCTGGGATAGAGTCCTGCATCAGGCTCCTTGCTCAGCAGGGAGCCTGCTTCTCCCTCTGCCTGCCCCTCCCCCTGCTTGTGTGTGCACGCTCGCGGCCCCTCCCCCTGCTTGTGTGTGCACGCTTGCGTGCTCTCGCTCTGACAAATAAATTTTGAAAAATCTCTAAAAAATAAAAATGGTGGGGCGCCTGGGTAGCTCAGTCGTTAGGCGTCTGCCTTTGGCTCGGGTCATGATCTCAGGGTCCTGGGATTGAGCCCCACATCGGGCTCCCTGCTCTGCGGGAGGCCTGCTTCTCCCTCTCCCACTCTCCCTGCTTGTGTTCCCTCTCTCGCTGTGTCTCTTGCTGTCAAATGGATAAAAAAAATCTTTAAAAAAAATAAAAATAAATAAAAAAAATAAAAATGAATTTTATGGTAGTGAATTATCACCTTTTTAATTGCCTGAAAAAGACAAAGGAATGCTGCTTCAAACCACCACCACCATCTGTCTACTTTTTCAAGATTCTCTATAGCCTGACCAGTCAGATTATCAGACAGATATTCCTCTCTAGCCCTTTGGAGATATTCATAAAGCACAGCTCTGTTCTCTCCCAGTCCCATCCTTTCTGCCAATGCCTGTAAGCATGATCTTTTTTTAAACTAAATTATGCAAATCCCAAGAAATACATAACCCCAAAAAGTTAGGTAAAAAAACTTACTTTTTTTAGATTTCATCTCAAACAAAATTAGATAATTTTCTTTTATTGTAATAAATCATCACTTATTAAAAGTAGGTAACTGTGATTTACTACAGATGATAGCTAATTACTGTTAATAGATAGTAGATAATAATTAATGATAGAAGTTAAAATAGAATACATATAGACCAAAATGCTAGAGACTATAAAAACAAAGAAAACAAGGTCTGAACACCAAGACAGAAAAGGACGTATTAAAAAATATTAAAAACAAAAAAAAGAGAGAGAATTACAACTAATTATAACAATGTATTTTTTTAAGGTTTTATTTATCTATCTGACAGAGAGAGACACAGCGAGAGAGGGAACACAAGCAGGGGCAGTGGGAGAGGGAGAACCAGGCTTCCCGCTGAGCTGGAGCCCGATGTGGGGCTCAATCCCAGGACCCTGGGATCATGACCTGAGCCGAAGGCAGATGCTTAATGACGGAGCCACCCAGGCGCCCCATAACAATATTTTTAGAATAGGAAAGAAATAATCTACCTTATTATAAATACTTAGACATGTCAAGAAATAAAAAATTTAACCATAAGCTTACAAAAACACGTTAAAAAAAAAACATTTAAAAATTAGCAATGCCTGGGGCACCTGGATGGCTGTCGGTTAAGCCTCTGACTCTTGACTTCGTTTCAGGTCATGATCTCAGGGAGATCCAGCACCACACAGGGCTCTGTGTTCAGCAGGGAGTCTGCTTCTGTCCCAGGCTCTCCCTCTGCCCCTCCCCGTTCAGGTGCAAGCACTTGTGCGCGCTCCCTCTCTCAAATAAATAAATAGGGGCGCCTGGGTGGCTAAGTCTGTTAAGCATCTGCCCTCAGCTCAGGTCATAATCCAGGGGTCCTGGGATTGAGCCCCACGTCAGGCTCCCTGCTCAGCGGGGAGTCTGCTGTTCCTTCTCTCTCTGCCCTTCCCCTCTCTCCCCCACCCACTGGTGCTCTCCCTAAC